GATTCTTTTCTAGGAGACTTATTATGAGTGTGTAATTGTTGTTATGATTCTGACAAAGAGTTCACATAATCAGCAAATGATTATCTCTCCTTTGGATTCTCACTTGCTTTGCTTATTCCTCTTTATATCAAGTATCCTTTTTTTGGATTTTGACAATTTAGTTATATTGGTTAATACATATATTAAATTATATTTATAAACAATTATTGGAATTTTTAAAAAGAGATTTTTTGTGTCAAAATAATAATTATTTGAGTTCATCTAAAAACAATATAATCATCTTAAACATCTTTTGATATTATATAAACCAATAATATCACTAGTAGGTTATTCTTTTATATTAGAATGTTTCAAATGTAAGTTTAAAAAAAGAAAGAAATCTATTTTTTACTATAATCTTAACTTAAAATTAGAATAATTGTTTAAAATCAATAAGGGAAAGAGAGATTCATCTAAAGCTACATCTTCTAATATAAACTTTTATCATACTTATCCATGATAAGCATATAATTGAAATTATATTTAAAAGCTATCTATTTATAGTGGTGACAATTATTGCTTTACATATTACAAATATAAAATTTCTTAAAAAAATGTATAACCTCTTCTTATTATAAATAATATGATTATCCTTTCTATTTTTGTTAATTTCTTAACAAATGATGTTTAAGTTGATCTATAATTTCAATTAATTATATTATATATCACTTATCTTATTGAATCAGTATTAATAAACTCATATAAGACTGTAATCTAAGACTGTGACTTTCTATTGATGAGTTACAACAATATTCTACAAATTAATTAAGTTAAGTAAGTATTTTCTTATTAAAAATTAGGTAATGAAATAGTTTTTAATTAATAATTCTAGTTTAATAAATTCTTGTGTTTATATCAAAATTAATAGTTTTGAATTCTAATTCAAAAGCTTACATAATTTTTATAAGGTCTATTAATTTTTAAATTATATAATCATATTAATTATTATTAAATGTTAATATCTTATCCTTTTCTATTAGTTACTCTTTTAAAATATTATGGTTCAATAACACCTTGAATTCCACTTGATAATACTACTCCATTTTTTGAAACATAAAATTCTATACCTGCCTTCATTGCTCTTTCCATATCCACCTCTATTATAACTTCACAAGTATTTCTCATTCCACTAATTACAGCATCATCTCCTGGTAATCCAACAGCAAAGTGTATATGTTATCTTGCCATTCTATTTAATCCAGTATCTTTAATCAAATCCCATGCTTAAAAGTATGTACCATGTACAATAATAGGAAATTATTTTGGATCAATTATTTTCTCTAATAGTTCTTCCTCATTAATTGGAATAGTATGTCCTTAAACACATCTAATATACAATTATCCATCTATTTCTTTTAGTTCAAATCTTTTTTTGTCATTATTATCCACTAAATTTCTGATACTTTATAAATTTGCTTTAAGTTTAACCATAGACGGTTAATTAAGTAAATCTTAAACCAACACAAAACCATCTTATCTAATTGGAATACCCTCCTTATATGCACCATGTCTCAAAAAATAAGTCAGTGCTTTAGATTACTGAACCAAGAGTGGGTCTTTTTTCTTTTATTACATTTAATTCTTTCTTATAAATATTATTATATTAATAATGAGAGTTTAAGCCTCATCATTTAGTTTACCTGCTCTTTAATTACAACCTAAAGATACTTAATTCAGTCTCAGTTATGGTGATAACAATTAATCTAGTTCTTCGATGATCAAATATTAGAGCAGTCCTCAAAGATATTATGATCCAACACCTATAAAAAAGAAAGTAAGAGGAATGAATATTGCCATATACAATAGTTAAGAGAAACTAAAAACAGCAGAATTTCGTTATGGAAGTGATTTGATTACTTAAACATAACCACTTAACTAAAGTTCTTCAGTTGTTAATACTGTTCGCAGATATAGAAACAAGCTAAAATAATTAATGTACTAATCTCCCAAAGAAGATGGAGGACTATCTCGAGACCCAAGAATTTATTCTTTTAAAGAACCTACTGCAACTATTAGATTAGATCGTCTAACAAATTATAGGGATGATCAATAAATGAAGGACAAAATCACTTAATTAATGAGTAAAGTGAAATTACTATTATCTACACAATAATTTTATTAAGAACCATATCAATAAGAGACTTTTAAAGTTACTATGGTACATCTTAAAGATGAATATGATTGTCTTTATTAAGACTTTAATGATTACTATGTTCAAAATAAGAAACTTGATAATTAAGTGCTGTAATTGTACAACCATATGGAGACAATAAAAACACTTCTTAAACCTAAAAGACCTACAATGACTAGAAAAGAATCTCTCATTATATTTGATCAAATTTAATAAGAACCCTCAATACCATAAACTTCAGATAAGGTTGAAGAACCTCCTCAATTAATCTAGGTTATAGAGATCCCTGCTTCATAAGATCAATAAAAACCTATAGTTTCTCAAGAGGAACCTCATGAATAGAGTGCTTTTACTCCACTTACATCAATATAACTTAATGAAGATTAAACACCTAGTGATATTGATAAGGAAGAAATCAATAATAATTTTCCTATTAGTCCTAAAAAGAAATGTATTAAATATAAAAAAAGTCCTTTAAAATCTTAAAAATCAATCATTTTATAACCATCTGTTTAAGATCTCTCTTAATTAGAATTCAATCCTTTATCTTCATAATAAAAATAATTGAGTTCAAGATCTAAAATTCTTTTTGAAGATATCCCTTTAAAATCTGTCCGTAGTACTAAGAGTGAATAAATAAAAGAATTGGATAAATAGGATGAAACTCCATTATCTGAAAAGGTCCCATTTAAAAGATAAAGCAGTAATGTAGGGTCTTTAAATAAAAGAAGAAACACAGTTCTAGAAAATAAATAGGGAAGAAGATAATAAAAGGGTGCAAATAGTATATCTGAATAAGATGACAGTTAATCTGATGAAGGTGTAAATGAAAATCAATAAAAAGAAGAAATGATTGAAATATAAGAAGAATTACAAGAAGAATATAAAACTATTAATTATTAATATAACGATCTTTTAGATAAATTAATCGAATCTGAAAATATCTTTAGATATCCTTTTTATTAGACATGGGAATTCCATGTAGATTAAATAATTAAAGGAGTAATTTTTGGTGAATTTGATTTGTGATTATAATATGTATTATTCATTTTCTAACTTTTTTAGTTATCTTTTTCTCATACTCTTAATCATCATCATTATTTTAATGTTTCTTTTTTTTTGATTTTTTTTTAATTTCACCAAATTTAACTTCATATTCCTTTTTTTTTACTTCATATTCTTTTTGTAACTCTTCTGTTCTTTTTTAATATTCTTCCTTCTTTTTTTAATCTAATTCTGACCACATTCTTCTATAAAATTTATATGTATCTCATTACGCTGCAATTTATGTAATTTCTGATATTCTTGATCCAGGATTATTTTTCATAATTTGTTATCTTTCATCACCTAAAAATAAGAAATAGGCAGTCAATGGCTTTTTTGGTGGTGCTTCCTTATTTTTATCAAAATGAGTTTACTTAAAATATATGTTTTTGAAGTGACATTTTTTGGTTCAATCAATTTGGTTGAATTTTAATTAAAGTGCAGATGTATTTTTATAACTTGATTTCTAATACAAAATATTTAGTCAAATTTAATTTATTATATATAGGGAATGTAATAAATTGAATGAAAAATTAAGCAGACCTTTTATTATTATATCTAAAAATTTTATCTGAAACTAAATATAATTATATGTTAATTTTAGAGTTTGAATTATAAATCTTATATTTGATTACGTTATCATGAGATAAATCTTCTGGATCTATTGAAATTATTTAGAATTTTATCTATTTTTGAATTTGAACTAAGTTTTTATATCTATTAAGTTGTCTTATTGTGTTCATATTGAAGTTCTCTAAGAATTTCTTTTTATTACTCAATTTATTATTATAATAGTAATTTGTGTTTCTAGAGATTTTCAATGGTATTTTTATTTTAATTCCAATTATTCTTAGTTTCACTTGTATTTGATCTTTGAGTATAAGTACTTTTTCTTATTGCAGAATTAGGTTTACTATTACTACAAGAGAGATCCATAGATGGTTATTCTTAGAAATCAAGTCCACTTTCTTGTGTCTTCATTCTGGATTCAATATCATCAGAATCATCAAGATAATTAGCTATTTATTCCTCATTAATTAATATCTCATATTTATTAACGATATATTAAATAAGAGCAGCCAAATATTATGAATATTGATTATCTCCTGAATGTAAATTATGGACTGCAATTTCAATATTTTTAGGATGCATTTTTTAAATGTTGACTCTATAATTTTGAACTAATCTAATTAATTTTTAAGGTTTTTCTAATAATGCCCATATTTTATATTAATTCCATTTCTAACAACATTATATAATTGATAAATACATTAACATTGATAATCCAAGGTTCACAACCTTCAAATAATTGTAACAATTTTCTAAAATTAATCCAAATATCATTTGATTATCTCAATTTATAATTTGTAAGAGCTACTAAAAATGGTACTCTAAATTTATCTATCATTTCTGTCATAATTTAACTATATATAATAATTTATCATTTTATTATTATCTATGTAATTATAATTGAATTAAATTTAAAGTATCAGAATACTTGTACATTTATTTTCCATAAATTTATTTTTACTTATATAATTGAATATTTTGATTATTATATCATAGTAGTCATATATTAATATGTATATCTATATCTAAACTTTATTACTTAGAATTAGTTAGATTTTAAGTTATTATTTTTTGGTAATATAAATATTTAAATTATAAAGAGTTGTAATTCTACTCATTAGTAACATTATATTATATCATTATTTCAAATCAATGTATTATAATTCATAAAATATTATAAGATTATTAAAATAGTTAGAATAAAAGACAAAGTTTTTCAAGAAATGAATTTAATATCTTTGGAAAAGTTATGATTCTGAATTTATACATCAATTGGATTTCTTGCTGAAGAAATATCTTCTTGATCTCCGAAGTCAAGACTAATTTATTATACTTTTTATTATTTATATCTATTTTACTTTAATCAGTATTGAATTTTCTATTGAATTCACGACTGAATCCATTACTTAATTCTTTTTAACTGTTTTTTGCATGACTTATCTTTTTTTCTAAGAAGTCAAGTATTTTCCCAGATCTATATTTTCCTGGACTTGGACTTAAACTGGATTTCTTTATAAAATAATTAAAATACTAATTTTAGCATTGCTGGACTCATATTCTCATTAATTGAAATATTGACAGAACCCTTATCATCCAATTCTGGTTAATCTGGTGTTGGATTCTTAATTTCTTCTTTTTTTATTGATTTCTCTTATTACTCTTATTATTGGATTGCAGATAATTACTCCATCATCCTGAATCCATCTGGAGAAGTCTAAACAAATGATTTCTCATTTATTTCTACATAAATTCGCCATCCAAAATACATCAACAATAAAAGAAGAATTGAATTTACAATTAAAACTGCCATTATAGCAGCTTAATAAATTGTATAGAAATTCATAGAATTATCAATTTTAACAGCAGTATATGATTCAAATCCAATCGAACATATTATCTTAAACAGAGATATTATTATCCCTCTTTTGACTAATCTTAAAATTATATTTAGCTTTTACTTGATTTATTCTTAATCCAAACACATTTACAATAAATTATAATGATTAGCATTAGTCTAACAATGGTGGCAAAACTAACATATTAAGAATTGCTTGCAACTACTACAATCATATTCTATAATCAAAAGTCCTTATATTTCTATTTTAGTACTTCGAAAATGCCTCAAATGTCGTAAAAGTAAAACAATTAATAAAAAAAATACACTAAGTAATCCAATATACTAATTAGTAAGAGATAATACTTCATAAAATCTTATTATAGCCAAATATATGCTCTCAAATATTATTATTATACATTCTCCATTAATAATATATCCAATTATTCTACATATTACTATTTACAATTATCTAAAATCTTTTTGAATAGTTATTTTACTCTTCCAAATTTACTTACTCTTTTTTTTCATTTATATATATATAATATTCTAAAATAATTAAAATTAATTATTATGCTTTTATTAATTGCTTTAAAAACGAAATTATCATCCTTTAAATGAATCAGGCTTTCATTAATAGATCATTATTTTTATATTTATATATTCATATTTATAAAATCACTATCATATTAGAGGATATAATAGATAAGTACAATTATGAATAACAACAAACCTCTTAAAAATCTACTCTTAATTCAAAATCTTTTATTAATTGATATAAATTCAAATTAAAGAAAATGTAAACTTTTTTTATTGTAGTCTAAGTAAAACAATGTACATTTAATTAAAAAAAACAATTAATAAATTTTTATTATAGTAATAAAATTCTCATTAGTTATTTGTTTATAACTATTATAAATTTAGATTTATATATTATTATACAATCTAAGTATATAGATATTAAAGATATGTTCAATAATAAATGTATTTTATCTATTTTATATCTATGATTTAATTTAAGTCAATTCTGATCATTCTCTACTTCAATTATTTAATATTTTTAAATAATTCAATTTATAAATGAAGTTCAATTCAAATATTAATTTATTAACTGTTTATTGTAAAACAATAATATTGTTGTTAAGAATAAATTTGATTCAAGATGGTTAATTTAATATTATGAAGTAAAAAGCAGAATGAAATATAAATTCAAGCATCATCTAACCATTTTATTCTTTTTCCATCTTCCCAAATTCCATCCTTGATTGTTCCATCATTAAGGTAATATTTTGCATTTCCATGTTATTTACCATTCTTCCATCCTCCTTCATATCTTCTGCCATCAGCCCAGTAATATATACCAAACCCATGCTTCTTATCGTTAAGATAGGCTCCTTCATACTTTCTACCATCTTGCCATTAATAGACTCCTTTTCCATTCATATTGTTATCCAACCATTCACCTGTATATCCTCTACCATCTGCCCATTTATAGGTACCAAATCCATTAATTTTATTGTCTTTCCATTCTCCATCATAATAGGATCCATCAGCCCAATCATACCTTCCTTTTCCATGCTTCTTTCCATCAATATAATCTCCACAATATTTTGATTTATCCTACCCTAACATAAATAACTTTAATTTTACAGGTCTCTATTCCTTTTCCATGTTACAAATCATCCTTCCATTCACCTTCATACGTAGCTCCATTCGAATGTTTATACACTCCCCAACCATTAGCTTTATCATCCTTCCATTCTCCTTCAAAAACATCACCGTCAGCATGATAAAACTTACCTTATCCACATGCTTTATTATCAACCCATTATCCCTCATATTTGGCACCATCTGGCCATTTTTATATTCCAAATCCATCTCTTTTTTTGTCTTTCCATTCTCCTTCATAGATAGCTCCTGATTAAAACCTATTTTTTATTGTTGTATACTTATATGGCGGATTTTTTACTCGATTAGGATCTGGTGGAGGTTATGCATTAGCTATTTCTTCTTTAAAATACTATTATTTCATATTGGCACCAGCTTTTTCTTTTTTTTTTTCTTTCTGCTTTTTATGCTTCTTCCAATTTCTTTAAATTTTGATTGCAGCATCTCCTTACGATATTTTTTTTTATTTCTTAATACTATGATCTGTCTTCTCAACTTATTTTTATTCTTATTGATGATCCGATTTTTCAGTTTTCTCTGACTTGTCTTGTTTATCAACCTTTTTCTTTGGTTTCTTTTTGATATTGATTTCCTAAATGGATTCTGAGGAATGGTGCTACCATTAGCAGCCATTACATGTTTAACCCATTATTATTAATAAAAATGAGTTATCTAAAATTACAATACAAGTTGAAACACACTAAATATTTGTATATGATTCAATATGTATAAATAAAATTTACTTAGAGATTGAATCTAGTCTTTATGAAATCAAATGAAAGAATAATTATAATCGAATTTGATTTTAATAGATTGATGCAGTAATTTATTAATATTAATTAACATAGTAAATGATAAATAAAATAATCATAATTTCTTTTCATGCTTATAAAAAATTCTATTATTATTATCATCAAATGAACTTTCTCCAAAAAAATTATATTTTTTAAATTAATTTATCATGTTTTCTCTATAAAAAGCAAGTTAAATAACTATAATTTGTAATTTCTACAATTGTTTCCAAAATCAATTTCAAATTTATATGTTGCACATACTATAATATAATTTTTTAATCTTATTTATATAGACAGCATTCATACATCATTTTAGCAGATATTAATGGTAATAATTGTATATAATTAGAGTTTTTATCTAAAGATATAATAGTAGCTTAAATGGATATTTTATAAAAAGGAAATTATACAACTGTTATGTTAATTTGATTATAATATCTGAATAGCTTTAGTATTTAAAATTATAATACATTTATAAATATATAGTTATTTCATTTTTTATATGAGTTTTTACTAGATTAATTACTAGATAATTTAAATGGTTGACAATTTGTTCTTTCTTGATGTTTATTGTAATCATATTATTCATGTTTTTTGAAGAGTTTTTATTCAACTAATTATTATTAATCTTTCTTTTTATTAGTCATATCTACTTTGTGCATAAAAGATTCTAAACCATAAACTTCAATTTATTTGTTGTTATCTATTACTTTTTTATTTATTTATGGTTTAAATGTACACTACTTCAATTATTCATCTTCTTACTACCTTAGTATAGTAAAATTATTACTTTTTTAATTAAGATCTTCTTTATTCTCTATCAGTTTAATATTATTTAATCTTTTCATGACAATCATCAAAACTATATTAGGAATGCATTTATGAATATTTCATTGATGTTGATACACTTGGATAGAAAGAACATTCTTTATCAGAGTCATCATATTTCTATAAAATAATTCAATTAATTAACTTCTTTTAATAACTATTTTCTATAATCCCCATATTCATTTTTTATTAAATCTTATAAAGTTCTATCTACAGCCATTTCCATTGACTTAGGATTTAATTCTGGATTAAAATTTAATCTATTTATTTCTTCTTATTTTCTTTCTTCAATATACGATTGTCTAGTTTAGTATTCACTATAGAGTCTATCAAATAATGAATCTTAAGAGATTTTTCTATTTGCTATCTATTCACTTTATTTATTTAACTATGGTCTGAATGTATAATCTTTATATGCCTTGCTTTCTAAATCTAAATTCTTTTCAAGTTATTTCCTATTAAATTCTTCTTATCTCTAATTAAAATCTCCTTTGACTATTTAATTATTGATTTATTAATTAGTTTATGGTTGAAAATCATAAGGAAGATCATCCTAATAAATAATATTTTATTTTCTTATGCCATCTTATATTAATCTATCAACTACATTTAAATTATCTATTTTATTTTTTTCAGCTAACATTTAAGATTATAAATTAATTCGAGGTTTGAATAAATCTTCTTCTTCTCTAAGTTATTTTGCTTTTAAATAATCAATTAATGCCTTTTTATCTTACATTACTTATTAATATCTTTCATATAAAGGAGGTTGATCACTATAAGGTCTAGGTGCTTTATTTAATGGTTATTCCTCTTCTTATTAATTAATCATCAATTTTAATTCATCAATATGAGCCTGCCTTTCTTATTCTAATAATTAAAGTCTTTCATAGATAGGAATCCCTTCAAATTTAGAATATTTAATTTATGCAAGCAAATTAGTTTGTTCACTTAATTCTGGTCTAAATGATAACTCAGACAACTAAAATAATTTAGATATATACTATTTTTTTCTCTTATTCTAATTTTTAATGTTCCCTTTCTTCTTATACAATTGTTTTTGGTTCTGCTAATTTATCAAAATAAGTCGGTTTCTTTGTCTCTTTGTTTTTGAATAGATTTTATTTCATAACTTATAATTTATCTTATTAGATTTTTAGTATATCAGGTGTTTGTCTACTAAATTAACTATTTTTGCTCTCATTTGTAATTTATGATTAAGTCTCTGAATATTCTTCTTTACCAATACTAGGTGTTTCAATCAAAGATCTATCAATATAGACAGTTTCAACATTTCCATCCTCTATCATTTTCTTCCTTTACTCTCTCTCTTATTTCAATCTAGACATAATTTCTTATCTCCTATTCTCGTTAATCATATTTAATTTAAATTATATTAAAAAACAAATAGTTTATTATAAACACATTAGTAATTTAAGTTTCTCTAATAAAAGATTAACCTTTGATCTAATTACAATTCATTAAAGTGACTTGTATTATAATAATGGAGAATCAAAAAAGAGATATTTGAAAAAGATAAAATAATTGAGTATATTTTATTATTATATATTGAATAAAATAAGAATAGTTTATACTATTAATTAAAAACAAAGTAAAAGATAGTTTTTATATTAAATATTAAGATATCCTTAAAAATTGTTAGAGATTCAGTTATGTAATTATTGTTAAATTAAATATTTCTATTTATTTTTTGATGATATTATTAGGAGAATATTATTATCATTAAATTTAATTATATAGATAATTCTAAATATATATTATCCTAAGTCCTTATTATAAATTCAATATTGATATTCTTATTAATTTTATTTAATTTAAATAGTAAAAATAAAATAATCATTTAAATCTAGTCATTGGCTATTTTTAAGTTTTTATGACAACAGATCTTCCTCTAATTACACCTCTTGATGGTTTTGATTAAGATTATCTTTTTTATTCTTCTTCTAAAGTACTTTCTCTAAATACAACCAAGCCTAATAATTTTTCATGTTATTTAAGTTATCTTATAAATCCTTCATTTGGACAAATAACACTTCTTTTAGCTTTTACATGCTAAAATGATTTTACATAACTCCATTTAAATGATCTCATTATAAAATATATTACTATAGCTGCTGAACGTGATACTCCAGCAGCACAATGTACTAAAATTGGTCCTCTCTTTAATTATATTGACATAAATTCATAACATTCTTGAAAATGTTATGATAAATCATAAGATGGATCATCAATGGCATCAATAACTTTATGTACAATTCCTTATGCTGGTTCAATATTCAAATCTTTAGCAACAGTCAATACTGCTACTAGTTGATGTTTCTATTACCATTTTTTATCCAAAGCTGCATAAAAGTCTCCCAAATATAATGTTCCATTTATTAAATTATTTTCAAGTATTACATTAGCACATACTACTTTATATTTTTCCATAAAATCAACAAAAGTTCTCATTTATTTATAATATAATAATAATAATAATAATAAATAAAAATGAGCAAATAAATTCAAAAAAAATAATTACATATCCTATCTAAATCCAAATTAGCCAGAATAAAAGATGGAAATGAAGAAGAGAGTATCTTTAAATCTTTTATATAATTGCATATTGAATAAAGAGAGAATTATCACAGAGACATTTGTGAATAATAATTAAAGTAAAGAAAAGAATTTGAAAGATTATGTCAATCCATTAAAAAAAATGATGTGTCTACACGATTTAATAAATAACGATAATCTTAGTCTGTTTAATAAAGTCCATAAATAAAGGTTTCGTTCTAAACACCTTTGTTAAACAAAGTTCATCGAAAGTTTTAAAAAACCCCATTTCCTAAATAATGAATAATAATTATAGTTGTGTATCATATCATATTATCATAAATCTATCTTAATTTAATTTAGATTAAGTTCTATTGTATTATATGATTAAATTCTATCAATCTAAATCAATTTTTACTCTTGAGAAATAAGAATCTATTCAAATGATTTTTAGATTACTCAATTAGCAATTTCTTCAATAATTTTAGTTATTTATCTATAATTTACTTATTTTATCCTTTTAAAAAAAAACCTTCTTACTAATGCTTGTATTTTTAATTATATTATTTTTTATTCATATATTATTCAAATTATTTATTTTTACCCTCTTATATCACATGTAAACACTCTTAAATATTATAGATAATCTATAACACTAGCTAACAAAAAGGGATCTTTTACCTATTATTTATAATCAAATAATACTCCATCTAATTACATGTTGGTATCAGGAAACATTTTTTCAGGATTCTCTAAGAATTCCCAAAGCTTTTTTCTAGTCCAATAGAATTTATATGCTGTCAAATCTTTACCATAATTTGAAAACTTTTTAGATCCATTTCTTCTTAAATAAACTGTTCTTAATGATGGTCCTAAATATAAATCTTAATCTCTTTATTATTTATAGAATACATACAAATCATGACAACCAGCACAATTGTGATTAAAAAATATTCGACCTTTTGTTAAGTCCCCATTAGGAATATCTATTTCAATATCATTTTCGTTTTTCACTTGAGCTTTCCTTCTAAATTTTTAACTAGACTAACCACGCAATTCATATCCAACATCTCCATCATACAACTTTCTTGATCTCATTTATTAAAAATGAGAAATTATTATTTCTCAAAAATTGTTAATCTGATTTTTATTATTATATTATATTAATATAATCAATATAATTTAACTATATTTTCATAATATATTGATTATATTATTTGAATATCAATATATGTTTATGTATTCTTTTATTCTATAATATTTTTAATTCAAAATATAAATACATATCATACAATATATTACTATTTTATTTATTATAAATAAAGAATGGCTTTTTGGATTTAAATATTCCTATATTAATAATTCTCATATATTTAATATAAATAAAACAATTTTAATAATAATTGTTGAACTCTCTTATCTTTAAATTACATATATATTTATTATTTAATGAAAAGTTAAAAGGAAATAATTAAAAAATAACAATTATATCTTATTAAAAATGATATCATATTCTATTATTTCAATATAAATTAACAATATAACTATTCTATTAAAATAATATTTATCAATTTTATATAGAATTGATAATTATGATTAAAATTATAATTAATGAAATAAGAAAATAGTTTAGAGAAGGATGCTGATAAGAAATTTAAGAAAGGCAAAGAGGCGTATAATTTATAACATTAATTATTTTTTAGTTTAACAACTGGTGTATTTTAGTGGAAAAAGGATTATAATTTGGGTGCTATGCAATTTGAAGAAGCTGCTAAATTGTATAAGGAATGCAAGAATTTTAAAAAAGAAAAAGAAGCATTGAAATTAGCTATTGAATGTAATGAGAAATTAAATGATACTTGGGCAACTGGTAGAAATTATGAAGCACTTCTTAATTCTCTTATTGATAATTAAAGTGATGATTATAAAGAACTTGTAGAATGGACATAAAAGGCAGTAATGTATTTTAAGGTTTCAGATTCAGGAATGAAATCACTCTAAGTGTATAATAAAGTGGCAAAGTAAAATTGATTGCTTTTCTTCAGGTATTTAAATAAAAGACAACAATATGAGATTGCAGAGAAAGTAATTTTGGAAGCTTTAGTTGAAGCAGAAGAATAATAGGCTCCATCTACAAGAACTGACATAATTAGTTCATATGTTGAGATTTTAATAGAGACTCAATAATATCATAAAGTGGCTGATTTATATATGAAAGAAATAACATTATTCAGAGAAGAACATATGAAATATCCATTAAGTCAATATGCTTTAATTATTATTGTTATGTACATTTTATAAGATGAGATTATCAGAGCCAATCAAGAATTAGAGCAATTAATAATTTAGTATGATAAGAGTATTAATAATAAATTAGAGTGTACAATTTCCATAAATCATCAGAGTTTAGAGCAGTTGATTAGATGTTAAATTCATATGAGAAAGGAGATTAGAATTAATTTAATGATGCAATAATGAAATCTTGTGTTACTTCTATCTATCCTCCAAATGTAAATATAGTATTTATTAAATTAGATTGTAAGAGCTTTAAGGAAGGTTAAAGTTAGAGTGATAAACATTCATCAAAAACAAAATATAAATCAATAAGAAATTAATTAAGGAAATGAAGAAGTAGATTATGAATAAGAATTAGCTAAAAAGATTCTTTGATTATTATTTTTAAATCAAAATATACAATATAATTCACTTACAAAAAGAACTTGAATAAAATAATCGGACATTCATAAAATATAATATTTAATGTAATTAGTAAGATTGACGACTAATGCACATACACCAAGAAATGTGCCTTTGAGATCTCCAGAAAAAACTTAATCAATTACTATTCAACTACCAAATTATATATTTTTGGGTCCTAAAGATAACATTAAAATAGTAAAATTTACAAAGAACATTTCATCTACAAACATTAAATAAATTAGATCAAATTCTCCATGCAAGGATTAAAATATGAATCTAATAAATAATGTAGGTTAGATTAAGAAGATGCATCGAAAAACTACTAGTATATAAATAACAACATAAAATCCTGATCTTTTTATTAAATTGCAATCTCAAGATAGTAGTACTACACATAAATCGAATAACATAATAACTTTGTAAACATTGTCAACTAAACATAAACATCATAGATCTGAATTGACTTAAGATACTAATAATGAGTAACTTAGCACTCCTAATTTAACAGTTCCAACATTAAAATATGTTGAATAATCTAGTAATATGTCATAAGGACATATGTTTAATAAATCCAATAAATTAAGAGGCTAGATTACATTTTAGAATAGTTATTATTATGAAGGAGAGATTGTAAAACTTTCAGATGCAATCATAATGGAAGGTTAAGGTAATTTATTTACTGACAACTCTAAATTTTATATTGTGTATGAGGGCAGATGGAAAAACAATAGTTTTCATGGAAAAGGGAAATACTACAATTAATATTAAATAGAATCTTCGAATGATTGGCATTTTAATTGGAAGATGGTTGAAGGTATAATTTTATTTTAAACTTAAGCAATATTCAACAAGGGTGAGATTATTGAAGGTAAAATTGATTTTTATTAAACTGAAGATACCATTGCTTATAAAATGGAGAATCCTAAAATGAAAATTACATGATTTCTTTACTGAATTAAATTTTCATTTATGGTTTATTTACTATAGATTTAATTAAAAAAATTACTCTCAATTTAATTATTAATTGATATTGTTTTATATTCCATTAATATTAATTATACTATATTCTTAAAAATCATAATAATTAATTAAAATAAATCTTATATTATTTTATCAATTATAAATTATAATTGATTAATAATTCTTATAATATATATGTTTTTGTATTTATAAAATATTGATATATTTTTGTTAAATAAATTAAATAATTTATTAAGTTTGATTGAATATAAATTTTCTGATTTAAATCAGTTGACAAACTTAGCACTTGGAGGTTTGTTTTATTAGGAAGCACCTTAAGCACCTTATTCAGCTGGTTTTAGTATTTGGAATGAACACATTAAAGATTCATCAATAGTCATCATTGAACCTATAAAATTAATATCTGTATTACCGGCATTATCAAATTCACCACAATAATTAGGTGCTGAGAAGAGAGTGACCAATTGCCGTTTACTAAAGAATTCATATCCATCTTCAACTACCTAAAAGAATTGTAAAAAAATAGAAATACTTGATGTGCTCTACATATTAAATCGAGTTCATGCTTTTTTAGAAAGACTTAAACAATTTCTTAACTAAAGACATAGGATACTCCTCTTTCATTATCTGCCCATCCTTATACATCTTTATCTGGATCTGACCAAAGTAGATCACATAAGAGACCAGTGTCAGGAACATCAGTTGGTCTCATAATTCTTCTTATTTATTCTAAATTTGAGAGTTCAGGAGATAGTCCTCCATGCATACAAAGAATCTTTTCATCAATCAATGCAGCAACAGGAAGACAATTAAAACAATCTGTGAAAGTTTTCCATAATTTTATAGTATATCTACGTTTACCTATAAATTAATAGGTATGATTTAATTACATTCATCATAAAACCCATATATACGATTAATAGATGCACATTCATGATTGCCTCTCAAAAGGAAAAAGTTTTCGGGATACTTAATTTTATATGCAAGTAATAAACAAATGGTCTCTAATGATTATTTCCCTCTGTCAACATAATCACCTAAAAATAGATAATTACTTTCTGGAGGATAACCACCATATTCAAATAATCTCAAGAGATCGAAATACTAACCATGAACATCGCCTAAAATAACATTAAATGAAGCAATGCACCACAAATTTTTAGAGGCGCTTCCAATTCTAATAAAATTGGTTAGCTAATGAAGATATCTCTGGCTTTAACACAAAGACCACGAACTTCTGATTCACTCAAATTCACATTTTTGCCTGGTTTACTTCCTCGAACACTTAATAATCTTTCAATAATGTTATCCACATCTATTTCGCCTTATTTATCTTTTGCCATCTATGTTGTTTTCTTAAAATTATTATTAAAATATTTAATTAATATTGAATTATTACATTTACTAAATTCTTTTGATTAATACAACTAAACTCATAAAACTTAAGTGAAGAATTTCTAACAAATTTTAAAGCAATCATAAAAGTAATGTTAATTATCATATAAAATGGAATCTGCAAATAATTGATAATCAATTCATAATACAATAGAATAAACACTTCTGTTTTAAGGTGCATATGTAGATTTCATAAATATTCTTTAAGATATATAAAGGGATAGATAAATAACATTTTTGAATTTAAATATATATATATAAAGACAATAAAATTCTATATAAATGATTATTATTCAATTTGGACATTTCCTTTCTATAATACTGAATCTACCAGATTCTTGGTATTCATTCTTTGCCACCCAAAGTGATTAAAATGAACTAAGTGATGCCAATATAGATCCTCCAATAAATACTGAATGATATCGATTTTACTAATAAATCAAAAATAAATTTTATACATTAGATGGATACATTACTAATTTAACTTTACACATTGGTGGTGCCAAAGCAGATAAGGTAGTTTATAATTTATTCAAAAATCCAGGAATATTAGATGATCCACCTGTTGAAATAACAGTGGAACATAATTATTATTTGATATCATTAACAGAATTATTAATTATGTCCAATAACATATGTTATATACCTTTAAAGTTATCATTACTATTAAATAATTTATCTGCAATTTCAGAAAGCTATGCTTATTACATTAATATAAAATTTCCATCAGGTAATTCATATTACTATGTTGAATCAATTTGTTCATAAGTTAATAAACCTTATTTAATATCTCTGGCTAAACATGTTTTTTTGAATTAATTATATTCTCCAACTACATATTATCTAAATGGTTCATTTAGTATTTCTCCACCAATTGGCGCTTAAATTTGAGTTTTTAATAATGTATAACCATCATGAACAGCAGATGCAGTTGTTGAATATGCACCAATATCTAAAATCAATGCTGTTGAACGACCTGCTGAAAATGTAGATAAGGCTGCATTTCTAATAGTAAAAAAATTTGGAATTTCTACACTCTCAAATAATATTTCGACAACT